AAGGTTGGAAGCTGCCAACTATGGCAGTGACCCTCAGGATACCCTGAGGGTCCTTCCTGGTGATGCTGGGCTCACCAGGGACATGAGGAAGCAGGGGAAATTTGTTGGCCCTGGGCCCAGGTCAGCACCAGCAACACTGTCTCCACACTTCCCTCCTCCCTGGAGGTATAGGCAGGGAAACCAAGGCTCAGCTTCATTTGGGTGAAAGGTAGGGTATGTTCCCAGCAGGCCCTGTCACAGATAGAGGCCCTCACCATGGCCTGTGAGGTGGGCTGGTCAGGCCCAGCCAGAGCCCCATCCTGGAAGTCCAGAGCCAGCCATGGCCCTGGGCACACGTGAGCAAGACAGTGGCCCCCACCCTGCCAAGCGGCCTCGTGTACTCCGGGAAGTGGCCTGATGTCCCCCTGCCTCTGGTGTGGGCTGCAGTGGACAACAGGGCCCTGTCTGGCTGGTGAGTGGGTGCTAGGGGAGGGGAGAATAGAGAGCTCTATGAGGGGCCATTAACCTAAGTCCAGGGAGCAGAGGTCAGAGAAGGGAGCCAGATTCTGGGGCACAGTGGGTCCCAGGGCAGATCTGGGCTCAGGGGCTGCTCTATGCATCGAACCCTAGGGGCCCCTAGCTATCTGTGCTGGAAAAGGGTGCCCACTTGACCTGTCTCTCCCTCCCGCTCAAGGTAACTGCATGTATTAGATGCCTCCTGGGTGCCTGGCAGGCTTTCCATATGCATGGATTTGTCTGGTGTGGGGGACATGCTGCCTGCCCCTGTACAGGGCTGCTGAGACCAGGACCTGGAGTCCCCAAGGGGGCACACCTCTCCCTCCTGTCACCAGCCTGTCAAACAGGTCCTGGGCACTGCCACATACACAGACCCCACAAGCCTACCATCCTCCCGCCCCTGTGAATGGGTGGCTGGGTCTCAGTCTGGGTGGGAGGGAGACCCACGGTAGGTCTTTGCCCAGGCACACAAGGGCCAAGGGAACATGGACCCACCTGTCGCATCCCTGCCATGGGGTCTCAGAGGGGAAAGAGCTTGGGACCCCCAACTTACCTCCAGGGCCTGTGTCCCCTTGAAGGGAGGATGTGAGATGAGTTCTGGAGGGACTTGGCCCTGGACCTGTCCACCCCAAGTCCAGGGAGCAGTTTCTGAGATTTCTGCCCTGAGGGGCCGGGGCACTTGGGGCCAGATCCTCACCCCTCACCCTCACCTCTGGGCCCTGCCTGTGCTGCCCCAGCCCCCAACTTCTCTGCAAGGTTCTTCCTGGGCTCTAATGCCACGGTATGGGCATCCTGGCCTGGGGCACCTGGCAGTATCTCTACCCCCACCCTAGACCTCGAGGATGAGGGGAGGTAGCCTGCAAGGGGTGGTCACTCCCAGGGTCCAGGAGCCCAAGTGTGGGTCAGACAGCTGCACCTGGCCCAGGTTGGGCTCTGGAACATTTGTACCAAGGAAGAGCATGCTGGGGGACATCGCCCAGCCATAATTCTCTTCAGCTTGCTTGGCGGGCAGTGCTTGTCAGCTCCCAGCATGTGACCCTGGTGCTTCCTAGGCCAGCCTTCTCTGCACACTTATAATTAGGAAGCTTTCTCCTCCAGTTGCCCGCGCCAACCTCAGGCTCCAGCCACAGAAAGAAACTTCCGAGGGAAGTGCCGGCTCCCAGCCGAGTGATCTGGCTGCCCTGGGGGGTAGGGCGGCTGGAATTCCAGAGGGAGCCTAGAAAGCAGATCACAGTCACAAACACAGGTTGGGAGGGGAGGCCCCTGGCATCCTCATTGGGGGCTGGGAGGGGCCCCCAAGATCCTGCTGCTGAGAGCTGGCATCTGCTTAGAGCCAGCACCAGCGGCCCTTGCTGCTACCCGCCCACCCCCCCCTTCGCTTCTTTGTGGATTTGGGACAATTATGTACAGTGGTTTGTGGTTTCTCTTTGGTAATTGCCAGTTACCAGGCTGTGACTGCAAAGAATCATAGCCAGAGACAGGGGCAGCACCTGAGCTGTGGGGCTGGGTGGGCGGCAGCTCAGGACTGGCCTGGACCCCACAAGGGCAGTTCTGGCTCTGTGGGGGTCCCGCCCCCTCTGGCTGGACAAGCTCCTTCTGCCTCTAGGCTGTGAGCTCACTAAGCTCTGCCCAGGCAGGGGCAGGGACAGGGGCAGGAGCAGAGTGTCTGTGGCCTGAGCACCTTCACAGGGCATCCAATTGCTGGGCGGCTTCATCTTCAAGGTCAGGACTCAGAAACCTCTGGGCTGTTCATGCCATTTTTTCTTTTTTGAGAATTTTTTAATATTTGTTTTTTAGTTTTCAGCGGACACAACATCTTTGTTTGTATGTGGTGCTGAGGATCGAACCCGGGCCGCACGCATGCCAGGCGAGCGTGCTACCGCTTGAGCCACATCCCCAGCCCGCCATTTTTTCTTTGCATAAAGTTTTTTAAACTATTACAAATGTAAGACATCCTCATTACAAGACCCTTTAGAACATGCGGAGAGGAGAATACCAAAGGTTTCCAGCGTGCTTCCCTGACAAAGTGAAACCCTGGGGTGGGTCCCTCCAGGTCTTTCCTGAGCTGCAAAAGTGGAATCAGCTCCTGTTACCCCATGTGGGCAGCAGCCTCCAGATGGCCCTGTGACCCCACATTGCCGTGGCCCTCTCCTGCACTGAACAGTGCTGACCGGAACAATGGAGAGGATAGGTCACTCTCCAGCCACCAGGTTGGAAGGGTGCCCAAGCAGGAGTCCAGGATGGCCTGGGGCTCAGGCTCCTAAGACCATGGACCCTCCTGCTACAGAGTGAGCCCTGGGCAGAGGGCTCTCTGTTAGCTGAGAATGGGCAAGACTCCATCTGGGTCTTTAAGTCCCAGAAGAGGAGCTCTGGCTTGTGCAGGGGAACTGGTTTTGGGGACCTTGAAGGGCACAGGTGGCTCCCAGTCCATGGACACACTGAGTGGAGGGCCACAAGCGTGCATTGACCCATGGTCGTCCTGGAGGGGCTTGGTAACCAGGGGACCCGGAGACCGGAAACTTCCCTCTGAGACCAGAGTCTGGCCTGAGTTGCCGCCAGACTGTCCCCACCACGGTCCCAACGTGTAATTAGGGATGTGGGGCTTTGCCTCAGGGACCACAAGGCCCGAGTTAGAGGGACCTGGCCAGGAGCTCTGGCCCTAGCCTAACACTCTGAGAGACAGTGTCAGGAACCCTAAGCAGCCACCTCCCACCCCAGGGTCAGGTCCTATTTCCACCCAGCACCTGGGGCCTCCCCAGAGTCAGTGTGCAGGGCCGACCTGGTGAGTCTCTGTCACAGCCTCCAGCTTCTGCGGCCTCTCCTTCCCTGGGCCCTCTGCATCCCTGAGGATCCCCAGCCCACACTTGTCCCCCAGGGCCCCCCACCCACTCCCCACGGTCCTGTACCTCTAACCACTGGCTCCCTTCTCCTCTGAGGCCTCCTTCTCTCCTGTTCCCTGCCCCAGCCCCTGGGTAGCCTTGGAACTGCAGTGGGGGAGGGTAGGGGCATGCCCTCCCCCTCAGGGCCGGCCTGGGCAACACAGGGTTCATCTGGCTCTGGCTGACACCCAGGAAGGATCTGCTCAGACCAGCTCTGCCCTGTGGAGGGTAGGGCAGCAGTGAATCTAGGGACCCCTAGAAGAGATGGGGAGAGGAGGGACGGGCCTGGGGAGAGGGCTGTGGGCACTGGGCAGCAGGAAGAACCTACTCAGGAGGCAGGGGAGCATCAGGACAAGGGCTGAGGGAAGCCGAGGGCCACCTCTCGGCTGTCCAGACCCCTCAGGTGTATCTAAATGATTCTTGGATCTGGCACACATTGGTCCCTAGCATTGTTTCCTCCCAGAGCCTCCCAGGACCTGCCGAAGGCCAGTGTAGACTCCCCACATGGTTACCCAGACAACAGCTAGCCCAGCCAGTCCAGGTGGGCAGAGGGGCTCTGCCCAGGGCCACCCGCTGAGCCGAGCCATCCTGCTACACTCTTGGCCCCATCCTCAGCCTTCTCTAGTTCTTTTCAGCCCAGGCTGAGCTGGATGTGGGAGACAAGAAGGTCTCTTTGAGAGGCTGGGAGTTCAAACACAGAGGCAGGACCTGAAACCATTAAACAGAGTCACCAAAGGACCATGCTCCCACCAGCAAAGGCTCCGAGAGCGGGACTGGCCGTGAGTGGCTCCAGCCTGGTGCGACTCCGTGGTGCAGCCCTGCCGACCAGGCTCCCTCAGACCCTCTTCCTGGAGAGGCCCCACGTCCCCACCTCACCAGTGGTGCCACAGGCTGGTAGAGAGCTGATGAAACCCAGTGGAGAGCTGCAGAGGGTCATGGGGGCTCCAGCTTCCCCTCTCCACTTCAAATAGCCCCATACAGCCGGGCATCACTTCTTTATTTCAGACATCCTGTGTTTATGACGCCTGGTACTCAGGATCCTAAAAAGCTTGGCCTGTGCCCCAGTTCTCAGCAGAAAGTTCCTGGAGTTAGGCAAGATTGGCAAGAACCCTCCAGAGGCTTCCTCAAGACCCTGGATCTCCCTATCAAGTGCACAGTGGCCTCTGGGCTGTTTTGAAGGAGTGACATCTATCCATCCTGCAGGCAAGGCAGGGCCCACAATGCCACGCTGAGCACCGCACTCCCAGAAAACAGTAGGTTAGGACATGACCCAGTCTCTACACAGCCTCCAATGCCAGCCTCCAGGGAACACCTCAAACCATCCTTGGAGTCAGGGCTGTCTCTGCTGGCCCAGTGGCTCTCATCATCCCCACTTGTGGCTGCATGCTGGCAGGGTCAGTGAGCACTGCAGCCAGTTCCTGAGGTGTCTGACATGCTCATGGACACTGTGGGTCTTCTATATGGGCCTGGTGTTGGCATCAAGTTTAGGAAGTGCTCACAACAACTTTGTTGGAACTCCATTTCCATTTTCTTGGAGCACTGAGCAGCTTTTGTGTTGTGATGCAATCCTCCGTCCACCTTAACTTGTCCCCATGTATGGCGGTGAGGTAGGGATCTATGGCCACGTTCGTGGGACACAGCTTTGTTCGGGGCAGTGGTGAAGCTGATCTTTCCCCTCCCCACCCTCTGGGTGCATGGTCTGGTACTGAGCTCAGTTCTCTTCCTTTAACTCAAATCAACCTTCAAAAGTGAACGTAATCAGCCGGGTTATGCATGACTCCGAAACAGCTGGTTAATTCAGTGAGAAGAATTGGGCACCAGATGTGGTGGGATCGTGTAACCCGAGGCCAGTTCTCTGCTTTCAGCTTCAGCAGGGATTCTGAAGATCACTTGTTCTCTGACTCACGCCCCAAGTACGTACCTCCCAGGTCTCAGGCCCCGCGCTAGGCAGGGTCCTGCTGGAGCTCACGACCTGTACCCTCCAGAAGCCAGAGACAGACAGGCACGTGCACACACCAGTGGGTTGCCGTGAGGGACAAGCATCATGGAGAAATGGGCTGTGTGGCACATGGGGCTGGACAAGGTGGGCTTCTTGGAGGAGGGTGCTTTTTTGTCTGGGTCTGAAGATAGAACCCACATGCAAAACTGTGGGGTGGAGAATTCCAGGAGGAGCAGCAGAAAGGCCCTGTGGTAGGAATGGTGTCCTGGGGAAGGGAAAAGGTGTGAAGGGCAGAGAGTGGGCCATGTAGCAGAACTGGGGTGGGGGTGATGCCGCCAGCCCACCTGTGCACCAGGAGCCTCCCCAGAGCTCAGCAGGGTGGGCAACTACCCCTTCTGTTATGAATCAAAGGGGGGACCCCAGAACCTGTCCACCATGTCCAGGTTGCCCTCCCTGCAGCCCCCTCCTCCTGAGGCAGCCCTGCCCTGTTCCTCCTTGACACCCAGCGAGCTACACCCCAGCCCTGCACTCAGAGCTGCAAGGTGGTTACAGGCAGGGTGCTCCAGGAACCTGCTAGTGCGATTGAGCAGGGGAAGGTGAAGCCAGGAGTCCGTGGACTGACACAGGACAGGGACACCAGCCTTAGTCCAGCCCTAGGGACTGGGCAGGGAAATGGTGTAGGGCCAGATGATGGGCAGCTGCTGGAGGGAGGGCCAGAGAGCAGCCTTCCGGGGGACAGTGAGTCCCCCAGGGGTCCAGCTGCTGCCCCTCCTAGCAGGAGGGCAGCAGGCCGCCAGCCACTCACCGTCCAGGCGGGACTGGAGGCGCCCTGGGCCCAGTGAGCATCAGCTGCGCCCCCTCAGGAGCCAGGGGCTGGTCAGAGGCCATAATTGGGCTCTGGCTGTGGCAGCCCTGGGCGAGGGCGGGCTGTGGAGGGGCTGCGGGAGGGAGGGAGGCGGTTTGCTCAGCATTAAGCCTGGCTCCGCTCCGCCGGCTGTGGAATTCCTCGTCTGATCCGGCTCCAGATTGGCCCAGGAAACCTTGGGGGAGAGTTGATTGGTGCCATGGTGTAGTGGCATGTCCCTCCTGACGGGCGCCAGGCGACTGTGGCGGGAGCCTGGGCCCACGCCTCTCTCCTGGGGCTCTCTGGCTCCAAGGCTCCCATTCCCCTGCCCACCCCACCCCCCTGTGCCCAGGCCAGCCTGCCCACGCCTAAGAAGGGGAAGTCGGGGCAGCTTCAGCTCACTCCCCCAGGGGCACTCACCCTCAGAGGCAGGTCCCCAGAGGACTCATGGAGTGACATTCGTCACATGCGAGGTAGGGACTCACCCTGTTCAGCAGCTCCATGCCAGGCCCAGGCCCCAGATATGGGGGCACCCTGTCCCAGGCTTCCGAGCGAGGCAGGACACTCACATGGGAGCTTCAGAGGCTGTTCCAGGCCTGGGGAGCCAGTGTCCCCTCACTTGGCCTCCTGGGCCAGCACTCCACTGGGAGCTGCTACTCAGAGGAGAGAGAAGGCTCTGGTGGGCTTCCTGCAGGGTTGGCCTGGAGTTGCTGCCCAGAGGCCACGCAGGTGAAATAGGAAGAGGCTGGTGGCCTCATCAGGGTCATACACCCCTTCCCCGGACCCCAGTTCCCCTCACTGGGCCCCGCTGAGCGAGGCAGCCTCTGGGCAGGCAGGGAGGGACCTGTTCCCTCAGTATGTCAGTGTCTTCCCACGCCCAGCAGAGGGGTAACACCTCGGCCAGGCAGGCCTCTCAGTGGCCTGGAACGGCTTCCCCGCACTCCGGCTTCCCTGCGCGGTGGTCAGGCCAACAGGCTGGGATTGTGCACAGAGTCCCTTCTGAAGCTGCCAGCCCAGTGTGGCCTCTTTGCCAGGTTTGGGCCCAGGGGCGGGAGACGTCGGGCAGGGGCCCGTGGGAGGCCCGGCCAAGATGCCAGGGAAGAGAAAGGGCCCAGACAGCCTCGCTTTCAAAGCCCAGTGGCTGGCCAGCCTCTCCAGGCTGCGGGCTGGGTGCTTTGTGAGACCCTACTCCTGTCGAGCTGTGGGGGGACATGTGTGTGTGAGTGCCCTCAGGGCCCAGGGCTACGAGAGGGCGCCCCGCTCAGGTCCTTAGTATCTCCATCTGAACCCATCTTCTGGACAGCCTGAGGCCATTGTATGGCGCTCCTGTGGGACCTAGGGGCACTACCTACAGGCACTGTGTCCAGAGCGACTGCTGGCCATGGGGGCACCTTAAGCCAGGACTCTGGTCCCATCCCCCTGTGGCAGATACCCAGGTCCCCACCTGGTGTGAGCATCCATGCCCTCAGGCCCCTGGGGAGTGTCAGGCTGGGGCCACATCGTGTTTCCTGCTGTTGGGGCCAATGTCCTCATCCCACACATCACCTGGCACCCGACTCCCAGGACAATTGCATCCCAGCAGAAGGAGCCCAGCCTGCTGCCTGGACGTCCCCTCTGTGAAGCAGTGACCTGGCCCCGGGGGTCTGCTGTGACCCCGTCTCGGCGTCTGGTTGCCAGCAGCTTGTCTGACCACCGGCGTCCAGCCACCGGCCTGGCTCCAGCTGTCCTTACCTAGTGCTGCCGGGAGGGGCAGCTCGGGCGCCCCACACAGTCCCAGCCAGCAGCATGGGGGTGGGGAGCCGGGCCTTTGCGGGAGGAAGGCAGCCAAGCCCCTCCTCACACCCCCTCCCCGCCAGCTGCCGGAAGACAGGCCACGTGGGAGCTGCTGGGGAGGGGGCTCTCAGAGAAGCGGGGCGGCCAGGGAGGGCGGGAGGGCCGCTGGTGGGCAACAGGGAGGCCTTTCAGTCAAGCCGTGACTTGGCTCTGAGGGAGAATGGAACAGCCTGGCCCTGCCCATAGGTGGGCCCCTGCTGTGGCCAGCACTCCAAGCCTGCCCTCTGCTCTTGGGCTCTCCACCTCCAGGGGTTGGCTGGACCTTTCCACCAGACCCAGCCTCCCCTCACGGCCCCCGCCACTGTCCAGGCCGCAGCTCTGGTACCCATGTCCCAGTGCGGCCAGCCCTGGCCTGGGCTGCCACACCACATGCTGTCCAGGCTGTGGCCCTGGCCACCAAGGAGCAGGCGGGGCTAGTGTCCAGAGAATGGGCGCCTTCATCCTGCCACTGGCTGGGTGCTATGCCCTGGCCCAGCCCGGCCCACCCGAGCCCCCCACCCTGCCGTGCCCGCCGTGCCCTCCTCCGCGCGCGCGGCTGGCGGCAGGGCCTCCCCGTGTGGGACCGGGCAGCCACCTGCTGCCCACAGCCGCAGCCGAACAATGGGGCCCTTGTGAGCGGGCGGACGGCGGGCGGCGGGCAGCGCCTCCCGGCCCACCCCGGGCTCAGAGCCCCGTTGTGTGGGGCGGCTGTCCTGGCTGGGCAGCGCGGAGCCACCAGGCTGGCCCCACCCGCACTGGGCCACAGAGATGCCACAGCCCCCGCCCTGGGCCGTTCCTCTTGACTCCTCTGGGGAGAAGACCGTCTGCCTGCCTAGGGCTGGGGGTCTTCCTGGGTAAGACTCAGGCCATGGGCCCCTCCAGCACACTGGAGCCCAACAGTGGCCAGGCCAGGGTCATGGGTGCTACCTGCCCCTGCCTTACCTTGGTCCCCAGGCCTTAGCCTCCTCAGGGCCAGGGCCTGGCAGCAAGCTCCTGACAGATGACCAGGCTACCCAGCCATCGTCCTACCCCCTGACACATCCCATTGGGAGAGAGTCCCTGAGGACCCTGCAGGGCACTGCCCAGGGCTCCCAGCAGATGGAGAGGATTGGCGGTGTCCCCAGCATCAGGAGGCCTGGGATATGGGGCTCGGGCCAAGTCCTGGTCTGCAGAGGGCTATGGGGAAGTGGTCCTGGCCACTTCCCAACACTCCAGGACACCACCTGAGAAGACCAGGTGCCCTCACTGGCAGAGGTACCACAGGCTCAGAACCAGGTTCTTGGAGCCTCAGACCCCACAAATCCTGGAGTGGACGGAGGCTTCTCTTCCCCTGGCCACGTGGACTCTGTGGAACAGGTGGGAATGTTACCAGTGTCCCCTCCCCCACCACACAAAGTGGCCTGTGACCCCACAGGGTCCACCTGAGCTGGATAAAAGAGGGACACAGCCTCTTGTCCCCCAGAGCACATTGTTTAGAGGAGAACACCTTTCTGGGACAGTAAGGTACAGAGAAGCTGAGCTGAGCAGTGGGCGTGGGCAAGAGAGCTGAGCACCTGGATCCAGCCTGGGCCTGACGCTGTTCCCCGTTTCAAGCCCCAGCAACTTGTGCTCTTCACCGAAGTCAGAGAAACTGTGTATCTTCTAAGAACCACAGTGATCATACAAAGAGAGCTTCAGGAAGTTATGTTCCTAGTGTTTGCCTCAGGGCCTAAAGAATGTTGAGTGGCTCTGCGTGGGGGCCTGGAGTGCTGGGGGAGGGCTTGAGTGACCCCTTCCCTCCAGGGGAGCCCAAGCTTCAGTGTCCTGTGTGCAATCTGCCCACCTCCGGGCAGACAAGCAGGGCTCCTCACTTCACTGCAGGACACCCAGCAGTCCCTCCTGTGGAGGACCGGAGGCAAGTCCTGGCCCCTTTGAGCAGCCCCTCCCCATGGGCAGAGACTGGGCCTGAGTGGGCTCTGCCAAGACACCACCCTCTGGATGGGCTGTTGGGGTGGCCTCAGGTAGGGCCCAGCTTTAGTCCACTTGGAGGGGATGTCTTGTGCTTGCACTCCCTGAGATGGCCCCAGGGGGCAGCTGGAGAAGGGGCCTCACCTAGCTCTCACCCCACACGCCCCGCCTTGGTGCACATGGGTTCCTAGGATTTATTCAGGTTCTTTCCTGGCAAGGAGCGGGGGATCCTGCTGTAAGGTCACTCCTAGCCTTAGTGAGGGCATCATCCCAGCCCAGTGCCAGGTGGTCCCAGGCAGTACACTCCAGATCCACCAGGGCAGCCTGAAGAGGGTAGTGGCCCCCACCTGGGGCTGAGTGGTCATCTGGGACAGAGACCCCTGCCCAAGGCTGAGACACTGTTTGGAGGGGAGACCTTCCCGGGGCTGAGACCCCCACCTGGGCTAATACTCAGGCCCCTGAACCCAGGTATCCTCAGTAGTGTGAGCAGATCCTAGGACTCAGGGGTGCTGGTCTCTGGCAGGGTCCCCACCTAGCCCCCACGGTGGAGTGTGCCCCAGCCAATCCCCCTGGAGCTCTCCTCCTGGCTGCCCCAGCAGCTCCATCCTGGGGCTTGTGCAAGGCTGAGCATTCCCTCCCAGGCCTGGGGGCCCACAGCTGTGCTCACACGTGTGGGAGGAGGGGGCAGCCAGCTGGGCCAGGATAAGGCTGCAGCCTGGTGCCACAGGCTGTTCTCAGCCAGCTCAGACGTGGCCTGGGCCAGAGAGGTGGGCTGGGGGCCAACCTGTCCCCAAGCCCCTCAGCCTGAGCAGCTGCACCCCTGGGCTGAGGGGTGGGGGCAATACCACGGGGGCATGGAGATCACCTGTCTTGAGGGCCCAGGAGCAAGCCAGTGCTGGAGCAAGACCCTTGGCCTCAATGTCCACAGCAGCAGACACTGGCAGGGCCAGCTGTGGCCCATGATCCCCACGGTCTCAGCTCAGTGAACACCTGTATTTCTCACTGGATTCCTCTGACTTTGCATTTGGTCCTATAAGTGGGACCTGGGGGTCAGAAAATGTGTCCACCAGCAGCTGAGGGGCCTGTGGCAGTGATCAGCAGCTTCACAGGCCTCTCCCCGGCAGCCATCTGTGGTCAGTGTGGTGTGGAGCTTGATGCTGTCAGGGATGCCAGAGGTGAGCCGCGGCCCCTGCCGCCTCTGTGGGACAGAGGAGGCAGCCCCCTGGGCAGCAGGATAACCCCTGCCCCACCCAGCCCTGGGAAGAGCCAATTTTAGTCAGACTCGGGGCCCATGCACCAGGTGGGTGCTGGGCACCTCTGGCTCCTACAAACCCATCCCCAGGCCCTTTGGAACCTCCACTTATCCTGAGGATGTGGCAAGCAGGGAGGCCAGGCTGGTCCTTGTGGCAGGACGGGAGAGGGTGACTGCCACATGTCCCCTGGGATCACCACGGAGCTCCATCTCCTGAGTGCGACACAGAGCCAGGTCCATTCCAGGAAGGAGCCCTTGTCCTGGAAGGGCTAGCTCAGGAAGCATGGACCAGCCCTGGGTGGGCAGTGGCCCACAGTTTCAGGATCTGACTTGATGGTGGTCAATAAACAGGACAGAGCTGGGCTGGGAAGGCACTGAACAATCAGGACAGCTTGCCCTGCCTGTCCTTTGTGCCCAGCACAGCGGGTACCTCTGTGGCCTGCAGAGACAGGTCCCCACCAGCCTCGGGGGCAGCCTGATAAGCAGCAAGCAATGGGGTGGGTGGAGGCCGGGGCTTCTCTGGTGCTGGGGGTGGTGAGGGAATGACCCAACGACTCCTTCCGCCTTGTGTGCTGGTCCTGGGGGCCGTGACCTCTGTCTCTGCCTTGCCTGGAAGTGTTCAGGGGGGGGGCTGCTGCTGGGTGGCCCCTAACCTAGTCCTTCAGCACATATGTTGGCACCCTGTGGTGCTCTGAGCCAAGCAGGGTGGGCTCCTGCTTAGCAGTATGTGGGCCATGTCCTGTGTGCTGGTGGGGAGCTCAGGTCATAGCTGGGAGCTCCCAAGATCTACAAGGGAGGCCTCAGACTCCAGTCTCTGGAGGCAGCTGGGTGTAGGGAAATCCAGAGGGTGGGGTCTTCTCCCCCATGCTGAAGGTGAACAATAGGCCACCTGGGGCCCAGGGCCTAGGAAGGGAATGGGGCAGCAGGTCTCCTTGAGGGCCACCTAGGTACCACTGCCAGGCCTGCCCCACCTCGGCCTCAGGACAGCTGCTAGCTCCTCTGGGGAGGGGAGAATGGCTCTGTGTAGTGCAGAGAACAGGGGCCATGCACAGGGGCCACCTGGCATGGGCCACACACACTTGTCCCAATCAGCATTGGCCTCAGCACCTCACCCTGCCCTGAGGGAGGGACCCCAGTATCAAGGTCCCTCCGTTGGCATGCAGTGGCACTCAACAAGGGCTCTGTCTTCTTGGGAGCCTTGGGAGGCCTCCCGAGAGGTGAGGTCTGTTCTGGGCAGCGAGATGCCTGAGGGTCCTAGTGTGGTCCAGCCTGCTCCTGGCTGGAGCATTTGGTGGGAGCCTGAGCTGAGCTCGGGGCCATGGGCTGACCCTCCAGGGACACGGGTGGAGCCCGCAATCCCAAGAAGGATGGTAGAGCAATCCAGCTGAAATGCAGATCTTAATACCAAAACCACTTCTTTGGAGGGAAAACATGATAAGCGGCCAGCAGGCACAGACACCCAGAGATCTGGAAAAGAGAAATCTGGGGGAATGATGCCCCATGCAGAGCCATGGCAGACCTGCTGTGGAGCTATTAAACAGTGGGAGGAGGCAGTAAAATGCACATTGAGGGCAGCACTGTGTCTCTCAGAAGGGAGGGTCCCTGGGGCGTCCATTCCCTCCAACTGGAATCACCAAGGGCTGGAAGGTCCTGGAGGAGACCCAAGCCCGGGCCAAGCACCTGCCTGCAGAGGTGCAGCCTGCATGCAGCTGGCTCAGAGCAGCAAGGTGTCTGTACCCAGAAGGAAGGGGCAGAGAGTTGGGGGCCATGGGGTGGGGGGTGCTGCAGGAAGGAGCCTGCTAACCTGGACAAACAGGACCTATGGCTCAGCTCCCAGAGGCCCAGCCACTGGGAGGCCCCAGCCTGAGGCGCTCTGATTTGCACCCAGGCAACCAG